ATAAAATCTGAAAGGTACAATGCATATTGTGAAAGGAAAAGAGACTAGTCAGAAGGAAACAACAGCTGGTATGAGGGAAAGGAGAAAAGAAAAAGGATCATGAAAGAAAATTCATAGATTATATATATATATATATATATATATATATATATATATGATAGCTAAGATAATTGTACTAATTTCTAGCTCAACTGAAAGGAACAGTTAATGTTTATTTATTTATTTATGCCAATTTTCCATGCTTATATCTGATAATAGGAACAACTACTTTGAAGATATTCAGATGTAATATAACAGCCATTATTGATTTTCTATCATCTTGTTTTGAAATTCTTTATTCTTTCTAATTTTTTCCTAATTTTCATTCTCTTTAAAACAAAATGGAAATCTAGGTTTCATCCTTCAAAAATAAATGCTAAAGACTGGGATATGGAATGTTTAAGTAGTAGAGGAAGACACTTGGGGACAAAAGTAAACCAGCATTTGAGCAGCTGATTGCAAAAGACAAGGTAGGTCCAATCCTTGAACCCACCAGCATGGCTGGCTGTGCTTGCCCACAGTTGTCTGAAAGGAAGGGTGAGATGTACTCCCTAGGTCAAAACTTTTGAGGACTTACTGCTCGACCAAACTCACCCCATCTTTAGTAATGATGTCCTGTGTTTGAAAAGCTATGGAGAAGCTCCAGCAGCAGTGCAAAGGTAGTGGGCCAAGGCATGTGCAGATATCTGTCATGTTAGGGAGATCACAGGGGTGCAGGTACAAGGTTTCTTTTAGTTCCACTCAGGGGATTAAATCTGGGATCTCATAAAAGCATTGCAAACATTCATCCTTCAAGCTACATCCCCACCCCTGTACTAGAATATTGTAGGAAAATTAAAAGATTAACTGGGTTCTTCATTTTCTTCTTGGCATGTACCAAGAGGGGCCCAGCTGTCATGGTCTTTCATTTAGGAAATGTACCATGTAAGTCAAGCTCAATCTACTGAAGTAAATGTGTAGAAGGGCAATTCTAAGTCATTACAACGGCCAATGAAGCACAAGCCATTTGGCAAAGTCATTAGTACCTGGTGTCAGTGTTACAGTCACTGGAGAAAAGAGCTGTCTGAAACAGTGGAATACTTGGAGTTTAGGGAAAAGTTCAGAGACATCTAACTTATGAATAGGGATTTACTTGATACTTGAATTTGGGAATTGCAATGCTTACCTAAAGCAAGGAGGCACCAGAAACTGGTGAGAAAGAGCGTATCACAGGGAGGAGACAGAGGGGGAGGTTTAGCTAACGGTATTTAAAGGTAATTATTTCTTGAAGTACAACATTGCAGGAAAGTGATCGATGATGTAGAGTGTGCCTAAAGAGAGTCACATGGAGAGAAAACATTCTCTTAGCCTTTCACTGAGAACAAATTGGTCAAGCAATGGCCATGACACATCCACATGGCTGACACTGACAAAAGAGCTACAAACTGGTACAGGGTGTCAGGGTACATCCTGAGGGGATTTGACTGACCTTATCAGATACAAAAGTTACATTTCTTTGTTATATAGGTCTTGCCTTATCTTAGGTCTTAACCACCCAGCAGAAAAGTACAAAAACAAAGTATAAAAAGTAAAGCCATATTAATATGCTGAGCTATAAAAGGCTCAAGTCAACAACTTCTGACATGGCCAGTCTTATGGAAAACTCAATACTATTATGGACTACTGGACTATATTGGAATACTTTGCAGAATTCACGCACCTACAATATTTAAATGACAATGGAATACCCATCTCTGACAAAACTAAAGAAAAAAGGAGGCTACAAATAAAAGACCATTTTGTATCTGTATATTCAAAATAGGATAGATATACAGCTGCATTCTCTTAATTCAATGAATAGAGAGATTTGTTCTAATAGTGTTTGTGGACAGGATATCATGTCTGCATCTTGTACAATGAATAACCACTAAGACAACAATATGCAATGTATTAATTATTGAAACTGTTGCAGCAATAATTGGTTTTGAAACTGTCTCATTGCTATTTGTTTCTCAATAAAATTATTTTTAGAAAAACAAGATTGCAAACATTCTACGTTGATGTAGCATAGATCAGAAATGTGCATATTGCTTTAATAGTCCTTCTATCCTTATACTCGATAAATTAAAGTCACCAAGAGACTAAAGCTGAAATATAAACATTGCTTTCTCAGATGCTGCAAACCTACCCTCTGCTCCAACATGGGAAGATGTGTCCCTTGGAGCAGGGCCAAGGCAAAGTCTCCTGGATAGCCTGGCCCCACTTTATCTATATAGGCTGCAGCAGGAGAATGGAGGCCACATGCAAACTAAGTCTACTGCACAGCAGGGACAAAGCCACCTGTACAGGCATTAGGAGACACAGATGCTCGTAGCACTGGTGCTTCTGTAATGCCTGAGGATGTAGTGGAAAGACAGCACACAGGGATGGCTACAGAGGAAATAAGGAAGGGTTTGGCACGGACCTCCTCCTGTGCAGACAGTCCACCTCACCCCAAAGAAATATCTTGCATATGCAGCTCCAAAGCCTATATGCAAAGTATATATTCAAAATGAAAACAATAATGGGCTTGCCCTCGCCCAATATAGCTAAAGTGTGACTGTGACTAGGAATCTCGGATGGCAGGAGGGGAGAAATGGCTGAGTGCACACCTGCGAAATGGCCTTGTCCCTCACGCATGGTAACTGAGTCAGTGTGGAGTGTCAACATGTGATGCTCATGTGTAGTAGAGGTGCCCTTGAGCAGCTGGCCGAGGTAAACACTGTTAAGCCCACCCATGGTCCTTTCATAGCCTGATCTGGCTGTGGAAGAAGCCAGCCAGATGTTGGCATATGGGTGACTACCGGAAAGTAAATGAATGACTCCTGCACTGCTGGCTGCTGTGCCTGACACAGTGTGCATGGGAAGTGAAGTGAGAGACTGCTACTTATCATGTTGTAGCAGATTTAGTGAATGGCATGTCCCTCAGTGTCTCTGCTGTGGGAGGACGTCCGGAACTCCTTGCTTTCTGGGGTGAAGGCCCAGTGGACTCAACATCCTCCCCATGGAGTCTGCAGAGCCTGACCCTATGCCCTGGGATGGTGCCAGCAGACCTGGTGCCATGGACAATACCAAGTGCCCACACTTCATGGTTCATGATCTAATGTGAGCCTCTGAGGGTCCTCCAGACCTAGAGGCAGCAGCATCAGTGCAGTGCACTCATGGAGGCAAGGAGGAGCTGTCTCTACCTCCATGTTTCAAGGACCTGGCCTCCGCCGGGCCTGGGGGTTATATGATCAAGTGACACCAAAGTGATGCTCTCCTCTGATACAGACCACTCTGGCTTTCCCACCCCAGCTCCTCCAAAAGAACTGCAGACTTTCTTGGGAAGGTGGGGACACCTGTGGCCATTTAGCCCACAATTAAGAGAAACATTGAGGCCACTGTATCATTCAGTAAAATAAGCTACACATTGGACTGAAAGCCTGAACACCTCCAGGCTTTTTCTCAAGCAGAAGTAGCTGTACAACAATTGATAGATAAATAAATAAATGAAAAAAGAACAAGTGCAAGCCTTGGGCTATCCGCAGGGACAGGAGTCTGTGAATGTCAAGTTTCTAGCTACTCGGTTGCATTCGCGTGAGGACCAGGGCAGCAGCAAGACAAGAGTCCCTCAGGAGTTCAGTCACAGCTCTGGCAAGAAGAGTCACAGCACAGAGCCCAGCAAGACAACTGCGTGTCACACACTCAGCCCTAAGCAGGCGGAGACCATCACGCAGTGCACCCCATTCCTCTGCACCCCATCTTCCTATCTGGGGATGCTTGCAGAGTGATGCCCTGAAGACACTTCCTTCTGGGGCAGCACAAACAGGCACACAACCAAATAGCATGCTCTTTACAGCAAGGAGGCGCCCTGACTTCCGGCCTGCTAGGTGGAGTTCCACGCCTGCCAGGCCCACTGACACCCACCAGTCAGGACCAGAAAGCATGAAGTGCTATCTGCCGCCTGCTCCTCTACCCCGGCTCTTTCACCCAAAGAAGCCCAGCTGGATTGGGGCAGCTCAAGTGACACTTAGAGCTCTGAGAGCTCTGCCCAGCTGCATGCAACAGGAGCTCTTCTGAGACCTGGTGACAGGGACCAAGCTCTGAGCGGCAGGGTCTAGGGCAGTGGTGGTAAACCTGTGGCATGCATGCTGCACCAGGCTGTTTGTATCACTGAAAGCTCTACAAGGCTGGCCACCATGGGTCTAGGCTATGCATGAGTGCTCGCGACTGTTAGTCACCACCTCCAGGAGAGGCCACCTTTTCAAGGGCATTCATCATGTGACACACACCAGAATTGAGGTAAGACATCCTCTGGGGACATGATGACCTAGAAGCCACTTCTGTTCAGGCCTCGGTGCGAATTCCCTGCTGGAGTCAGGTCACCTTCTTCCCCAGAGCTAGGAGCAGCTCCAATCCAAGGACCCAAACTACCTAGGAATCACCCACCCCAGGACACTTCCTGCAGGAATAAGCACATGCAAAACAGTTACGCAAGCTCTAGCAGCAGATCTGCAGTAACCATTTGAGACATGTCTCCTGTCCCCAGAATCCCATGAGAGGAGCATCCTTAGCAGGAAGCAGCTATGCAATGACCCAGCTCACTGTCGGCTGGGCAGAGCCATGTGCCATCTGCCTGGTACCTGGCGAGCTCACCTTTCCCTCCCAGGCTGCTCCTTGCCTGCTCTGCAAGTCTGAGGTTTAATGACAGCAGTGAGCATTCCCCCTCCTACTAATGCTTCCAAGACCATTTGCCTACACATCCATGCACCCCGAGGGCCATGTCCCCTCACTGCAGAGGACAGGATGTCCTGTCATACTGTGCTACATTGCCTCCTGGAAGGGCCCAGTTGGGTGGGTGCAGCAGATCTACCTGTGGTACCTCAGCAGGGCTCTGTGTCCATGGGGAGGCCACGTGGGGACAGCCATGTCTAATGGTCTCCCAGAAGGTGGGCACTAACCTGGGCCGGCAAAGGACAAGAGGGTGGGTGGCACAGGGTCCTCAGCACTCAGAGGGATCAGGTAGAGGTCCTTGACCCACTGGTTGGTGTTAGCTACGACGCCAAAGCGGTCACAGCTGCGGAAGTAGGAGTAGACAGACACGTAGACGCCTTCTTCCTCCTGCGCTGCAGGCCGAAACTGGATCAGACAGAGCTCCTGCAAGACATGGCCAGACAGAGCCATCACCTGGGCTGCCAGCCACCAGCGCCATCACTGGCTGGGCCTGGCCTCTGAACAGGAAGTCCCACGGGTTCTGATAGCACCTTCCCAGTGTTCTGGTTCAGGGTGCAAAAGTAAAGAAACGCGGGCTTGGGCTGCAGGCTTTCAAAGCGAAACCCCACTCCCAGCACAAAGCTTTCCACACTCCTCCTCCTCTACCTGGGCCTTCCAGGCCTCTGGCAGCAGGGAGGGGTCTGTGTGCAGGGACAGCCTGCAGCGTCCACACAGCACGGCCGCTATCCACATACAGGGATCGCCACACTGGCGCCTTGGGACCTGCAGGGGGCGTCGGCTGCATCCTCTTCACAGGCTGAGCCCCAGCGGGAGGACTGAAAGGATCTGGCTTCCCTGAGCAGGGTGCAAACCCCAGTGAGGGAGCCCACTCCCGGCACCCTCAGCCCCGGCTCAGTCTGGGGGTTCCCAGGAAGGCAAACCCAAGTCAGACGCTTACGGAAGCTGGGAGCCCAGCTCCCTCCTCATTCTCCATCCCATGTGATCCTGAGAAAGTGAGAGGCGCAGGCATGTGTGCTTTACTAAAACTACACACGCACATTATTATAGGAAATCAGAAGCAAACCTGTCACCCGTCACCGAAACAGTCAAACACACTGCAAGGTAGAATATCTCTATAAATTTAACTATTCCATTTAAACATATGATAAACTCCAGACTGACATTTCAGATGTTAGCCCAACAAAAAGAGAAGATAGAAAAACACAGAGACAAATACTTTTCCCCACGATTACAGATAACGTCCTATACCCTGCAGATACCTTAGACACGGAAGACTGGAGCTTGCCAACATAATCCCACACCGTCTTAGGGGCAATTCTCCCGCCAATGTGAATGGTATCCGGCAAGACCTAAACAGGAAGTGCTCAGAATAAGTGGCTAGGGAGACTACAGTGTTCACCTAAAGGGCAATTGGGAACTGTACGCACGAAATCCCACCACACTCACGAAAACCACAACTTTTTCCAGGAAAGCAGCAATGGCTGCATGGGCGGTGGGTAACTGAGCGCCACCAAGGACTAGGAGTCACCCCCACGCAAGGCGTGGCGTCCAGCTGTGCCCTCAGGGCCAGCCTCATAGGAGGGCACCACGCCTTGGTTCTATGCTCCACTTTGTGAACGCAGAGCAATGATTTGGACACGAGCCGCCACAAGTAGCGCCCTTACATTCCTTCCAAAATGGGAGGCCTGCACCGCAGAAAGCTGGGAGCACACACGAGGAAAACCCCAGCTTCAACACAGCCAGGACACCCAGGGTCTCTGAATTCCTGCCCCTCCCCACGTAACCCCCTGCCTCACCACACCACCTCTGCTTCACTAGCAGAGGCGCCGGCAGAGCTGGGTGTGAGTGTGAGGCAGGCGGCTCCTCATGGCCCTCCCTGCGCCCTGGGAGACGCTTGCAGGTGAACACATCCTGGGCTCTCACCTCGAGGACACACGCAGAACTCCCAGAGGCAGGATACGCCTTAGTGACAAATTTGCCTACACCCTGCATGTTAATAAGGCCTTTCCAGATGCTGCTGAGGTGAGGCACAGTCAGGGTCCGGGCTCCTGTTCCGGGGCCCTGTGATTGGGAGATGCTGTAAAACAAAGTCACAGGAAACACTGTCAACTTCTTGTTCAGTGGGAGCTGTAGAAAGATGGGGACAGCACATTTACAAGCACAAGTGAATCTGCACATGTGCTAACTGCCATGAAGTTATTTGAAAACTAATAATTTAGATACTTGGACAAACAAAATAAGCTGGACAGGCAACAAATTGTGATGGTCACATTACTTCCCATTTCAGTTTGCAACATTTGTCCCTTCAATATAGTAATTAGGTGCCTGAGAACTGAGCATTTCCAGCCGAAGGGTGTGAAGTGGATTCCAGCATGCATTTCAGACTTGAAGTATTTCACAGCCACCTGTCCCTCGTTCATTCCAAAAAAACAACAGAATCCTGGCTCTTGCAGTCCTCATTGCAGTACCCACCTGACACTTGGTGATGAAGGAACTGACACATGTTTCGGGTCAGAAGACGAGAATGGCTTAACAAGTATGGACTTGGGCAGCATCACAGAGGACAAAGCAGGCTTTAGTGGGTCTGGTCTGGCCTCGACTGTGTGGACACTGTCCAGGTGGCTTGCAGCTGCGACAGTACAGGTCCTGCTCAAAGCAGTCCTGGGGTCACGGCCTGATATAGTGACCGAGGTGAATACCCCAACTGGGCAGCTGGAGCGACCTTCCAATGAGAAGGGGCCAGCAGGTCTGTCCCCTGGAAGCCCAGGGACATACTTTCTCTCTGGTCTTGGAACAGAGGCCCTTTCCATGTGTGGCTCAGAGGTATCTTTGGGCAGGGCCACTGCAGATCCTTCTACAGATAAGTGAGTAAGTAGAGCAGGTAGAGCACTTCCAGGCTTGGATTTTAAGTCATCTTTCTTTGGAGAAGATAATTTTTGTTTTTTAAGAGCTGGTTCATCTTCTGATGGAACCTGACCTGAGGGATTCAAAGACAGAGTCAGTAGGACACAGAGCACCTTCACAGCTCACCGGTGAGCAGCTAGTGACATTTTGCAGGAATCTGAAGCACAGGGTGCAAGTAGGGCAGACTCTAAGCAACCACCCCCGCCTTTCTGTTCGACTGTTTCACTGAGGCCTGAGTACAATCGCTTTTAGGGAGATCAGTGACTTTAAACACAATCACGTGTTCTTTGGTTTCCAAATTCACCCCAGACTGTGCTCACCTGTACAAACTTTACAGTTTAGGTCAAAGAGGTGGCCCTGGTGCTGACTCATCCGCTTCTTCAACCTGCTGCTGTGGACCCCAGAGAGAGGCACTGTGCTCTCCTCAGGAGCAGCACATAGTGGTTCCTGCTGCTCCTAAAAGCGGGGGGAAAGGGCCAGGTCATTTCCTTTCCAACAGAAACACAGTCTCACAAGATAAGAACCGCTAGAAAAGAAGGAACACTGGCTGCAGGTGCTGGGAACCAGCACGGCGAGATGTCCACATGCATCTGCTCCCGGTTGTGTTTCACCTCAGCACTGCGGGCCCCGGAAGCACCCAGAAGGTGGCCAGCCTTATGCCCTCATGCCATTACTAACATCTGCAAAGCTTACATCCCAATCTTACACTGGTGGAGTGTGTTCCCCCTCAGGAATATTTTCTGGCTTTATGGCGCCAGCCTGTCACTTTGTCTTTTATGTTGGAACCTGGTCCCCTAAAACGATAAACACAAAATCAAAGCCTTAAACCCTGAGTTCTACACACAAAGCACATCTCCTTGCAAGGAGCAGATAATTCTGAACAGTTGAGCTTCCAGGGGCTCAAGCTACCATTTGCCATCCACACACGCCAATTTTGTGGGCCTCTCTTTCTACATGGAAAGCTCTTTAGGCACAAGTTCCTGTGGCATCACTCTCACTGGCTCCTCCACAGAGATTTCTTTGTGCAGTACTTGCTGGAAGAGTCCCTATAAACAACCACTATTCCATCACTACTGAAGAGTGGACAGTCATTTGCTAATTTGCAGCAATGTGGGAAAGCAAAGTAGCACGAGTTCTGTCAGAGGGCAAGGGCCACAGCCACAGGCCCTAAGCCCTGCATGGAGGCAGTAGTGAGCCACACCACGGGGGAACCATCTAATTCCCCAGGGGGAAGCTCCAGCCCAGCCCAGCAGGGAGCTGACTTCACACCATGCTGCACAGAGTGTCCGAACCGCCAGCAGCCTCAGGAAACAAATCCCAGACCCAAGGTGGAAGACAAGTCAAAAAGGGACTTAGGAAGAAAGCAGGACGAGATCCATGCCTTCCAGCAGGCCTTGCTGATCCTGAGGGATGCAGCCAGAGTCCTTGATCCTGGCTCTACAGCGTAGGCAGGCAGCACTTTTCAGCCTCTTTTAAAACTTGTTAAGACTCAGAAAGTTTTTAAAAGTACAGATGCCAGTGTTCGGTATGAGTGCTGATATTTGTCGCAGTGTGTCATGATACCCAAATGGGTTCATGTGATAATGGCTCTGTTAACATCTAAGTTTGTGGCTACGACTAATGGGATAATGAGAAAGCATAGGGCAGTGGTGTCAAACCTACAGCATGCGTGCTGCAGCCGGCTGTTTATTGTTGAAAGCTCTCAAAGGTTCCCCATCACTAGCATAGTACATGAGAGAAATCCCAGGTATACTGATTCTACTGATTCAGTATTCCAACTTTCATGGGTCACATGAAAATGTATTTAAATGCATTATGTTCTCTATTGAGAACAGGTCAAGACTTGAACATGCCTAAATGTGTTTGGATCATGTTTGTAAATGTACTAAGTAAAACACTGAGATTAGGTTTCATTTTAATTAATCTTATGGCTTTCAAAAGATAAATAAATAAAACATAGGTCAAGACTCAGAGGTGAAGGAGAAAGCTCTAGAAAGCAGCCATGGCAGGGGTGCAGGGCCCGACAGGCTGGCTGAGGCTGAGAGCTGCAGGTCATGACCTCCACTAGAGGACAATAGGAAAACAGGCAGAAAGGGTGGTCTTGAGCTAGAGGACAGACACTTCCATGCCTGGGAAAGAGCTCCACTCTTATGGATGCCTCAGTGCGCAATGATCGTGGGATTGTGGTGATGTTTCGTGTGACCTAGTGAAGGACACAGGTGCCACGAGACCCTCCGGAAACCCAGGAAGGAAGACAGCAAGGATCCAGAATGGGAGGACACGGCATCTCCACACGGGATGTTGGGGATCCTGTGAATCTTGGCTGGCAGGACCTAGCCCGCTCACTGCTTTTGCATCAGGCGCCCTGCGGCGTGACGCACACACCTGGCGTTCAGGGTCCTTGAGGTGGAGAACGACGCTGGGGCCGTTACTCCTGTGGCAATTATCTTTAACTTGGGACAAGTTAAACATCTTCTCAAGGTGGAGGGCAGCTTCTCCTCCAACCTCATTTTCAGTCATGTTTGAGTCACCGCTTTCACAGGCTCTGAACAGAACAGGAAAGGAGCCAGGTCAGCCACTGGTATCTGTAGTTGTTACACTTTATGAAGAGCAAGACAGTCGTGAAACACTCTGTGAAGGGAGACTCCCCCTCCACACACTTACAGGAGAACAGCCCACCTTTTCCATAGAATCTCCTTCAAGGAGCATCTGGGATTGTGATGAATTGGGGACTCTGGCTGTGACAGGGCAGGACCTGCAGCCCTGAGGCATCCTGGGGCTGCAGCAGCTGTGGGGACCAAAGTCACCCCAGGTCTCCTCCCGGCTCCCATCAGAGCCACAGAGCACAGCGGCTGTTTGGACTCCATGGCCAGAGGAACCGGCATTGGTCCCTCCTGCGTGGCCACCGAGGTGCCTGCTGGGGCCTCCCAGAGGCAGGGCCTCTTGGGGATGTGGCCCCTGAAGCCCAACGCTGACTTATTCATGTCCAATTTGGCTCCTCCCAGGTTGGCAAAAGGATGCTGCTTCTTCAGAAGGAGACTTCTGGACAAAGGCGGCTCGCCCACCAAGGAGCCAGAAAGGGCTGTGTTCTCAGAGCCCGGGCCAGCACCCACTGCTCGGTCCGCTCTCCTGGGGTCCTCTGGGGCTGTAGAGCAGAGCACAGGACACTAGGTGAGAGGAGGGTCCTCAGCGTATGCCACAAGCTGACACTGCAGCACACTCACAGAAATCTCACAAGCACTTGCTGGGCATTCCTGGGATGCTCCCACGTGAACCTTTAACTCCTCAAATTCAGGAAAGTGTAAGCAAGGGCTGCCAGCAGCATTCAGGACAGTGGCTCCACTTCCTTCCACAAAGAAAAGGGCTGGATCATGGGCTTCCTTTAAACCTTTTGTCTCATCCAGCAAGGTAATTATCTAGGACCCCATTTCCTCGCTAAGCTATAAAGCTAGAGATTTCAGCTGATCAAAAATAGGTAGCTTCTTGAGCCTTTTACAGCTCAACATATTAATATGGATTGCCAGTCCTAAGGATAACGCACTACTATTATGGACTACTGGACTATATTGGATTATTTTGCTGAATTCATACACCTGCAATATGTAAATGGCAATGGAATGCCCATCTCTGACAAAACTAAACAAAAAAGAGGATACAAATGAAGGACCATTTTATATCTATATATACAAAATAGGATAGGTATACAGCTACTTTCTCTTAATTCAATGAGAAGAAAAACTTGTACTAGTAGTGTTTGGATAGGATATCATGTCTGCATCTTGTACTATGAATAACCACTATGAAGACAACAATATGCAATATAGTAATTATTGTAACTGTCCTACTAACCTGTTTTGAAACTGTCTCACTGTTATTTGTTTCTCAATAAAATTAATCTTAAAAAATAGATAGCTTCACGGAACTGGGCTTGGTGACTCACACCTATAATCCCTGAACTATGGAAGTTGAGATGGGAGGATCACTGACAGTTCAGGACTGGCCTGGGGCTACAAAGTGAGTACAAGGCCGGCTGAACTGTATAGTGAGAACCTGTCTCAAAAACATAAAAAATAGGTAGCTTAAGAATAGCACTTCATGAGGAATTCAAAGATAATTTCTGTTAAAATGTAAACTTCAAAAATCATTTTAGGGGAAAAACAGACAAGTCCTGCTCCCACTCACACCCAGCTCGAAAACCCTGGAGGGGACGCCCCTCTGTCAGCATGGATGTCACCTGGCACCTCACTGTCCTCCCAGATGAGATATATTTTCACTCCAAGAGCAGGTGCCGAGAACACAGTGAGGCTGCTCTCCTGATACCCACACTCACAGGTCCAGAGCTCAGAGCTGCCCAGCCTGAGGAGATGACCACCTGGTGCTTAACACCAAAAAGAGTGGTCACCAAAATCCCAACAGAAGACAGGTAAAAACTCCCAGCTAGAGCACAAACCCACCCATGGCAGGGCAGAATCCCACTGAAATACTGTGTGAGCATAGCAGATCAGCCATCCTGCCATCCCAACTGTGTGGATGGACAATGCCTGGCCTGCAGGCACACACTGGGCAGGAGCCCAGGAACAGGAAAGAGGGGATGCCCAGGGACAGAGGTCACCAAAGTTTTGCCCTGTAGTATTCTGGATACTGAACTGTTAAACTCTAAAGCTCTGGCCTGAGACCCTTGCACAATCTCAAGCAAACCCCTAACTACATGTGCAGAATGGCCTGAAGCAAACCTTGAGCAATCACTAACATTTACCTTGTTTCTGGCCACAAACACATGCAGGCTTGAAATCCTTGATGTCCACTTCTGAAATGGGAAGCTATAGAATCATATGTTCAAATTGGCATGAAGCCTCCTCTAGCCTATTTATATTTTCATTCTCATTCCAAATCTAAGCCCCACTGTATTGCTAGGACACATCCACACACATGACACAGGTCATTAACTATCTGAGAGTGGGATGTGGCTCCCTGACCACCAGCTCTGTGCTCACCAACCAATGGCTTCTTCTCTTTTGAACGCAACTGCTCTCACTCATTCCTTGGGCTTCAAATAGCAATAGGTACAATATACAAATTATTTGCAAAAAGAGTAAAACCTGGGGTGAGGCTAATACAGTTGCTTCCAGTGCACCTGTTCTATGACACACATTTTGGTTTCTTCCATATGAAAAGTGATGTTTAAAACAGAAAGAACTTTTCTATGCAGCAACAGCACAAGGTCCTCATACACCTCTGCTTCTGCCTGTGGGGAAGCCACACTCCTGATATGAGGCCTCTAGGACAGTGAAAAACTCATTTTAAATTTGCACAGTATTCCTCCAAATCTATTTTCCCTTTGTTGTTCTGTGTTGTGGTGGATTGAACCCGTGGGCTTCAGCATGCTAGGAAAGTTGCCTTACACTGAGCAATAGCCCTCAACACCACTCAATAGCTTCACTATTAACTGTATCCTTGCAGATAAATCTGACACCAAAGAAAGGTTCAAGACGACAGCAGCAGACCTTTTGCTGTTTGAGCATCCAGGCCTGCTGCCAAGCTGTCTGGCAGCTGCACAGGCCCTGTCCAGGTGGCACTGCTGGTTCCCACACCATGAGGCCTGAGCCTGCAGAGGAGCCATGGTACCAGTGTAGCCTCCTCCGGCTCCCATTGCCTTGGTTCTGATAGTAAAACACTGCTCTAAAGCTTAGTAGTAGAGGCCAGTGATATAGCTCAATAGCACATTGCCTGCCTGGCAAGTGCAAGGTCCTGAGATTGATTACCAGTACCAAAAATATAAAAAAGCTTAGTAGCCACGTGGGGAAGCCTTCCAAGTAGCCTGGACCATAGCCCCAGATGAAACTTGTGCTGCCAGATCTAGAGCCCAGCACAGCTGGCTGCTGAGAACAAAGTCAACATCTCACAGTAATCAGGGGTCTCCTCACACTGGAAGTTGATGGTGGGGGCTACTAAGCCCACACTGGGTGTTATGACAGGCCACAGAAACCAAGCTGCAGAAAATCTGCCCTCCCCCAGCCATCAGGTAGAACCCATCCAGTTGTCAAGATGGAAACTGCACCAGGATGAGGGGCACAGGCCTCCAAAACACAGATGGGACCCAGAGACAGAGCCCCACCTGCCCCCACCCTGCCCAGGGCCTCTTCTGCTCTAGGGCACCTCACAAGGAGTCAAAGTGGTGAAAAGCAGTGGGACAGAACTCTTCCTTCCCAATGGCAAATTTGCTCAATCTTAAGTGAAATAAATGGAGTACCTCACATTCTTATCAATTCTTTGCTTCTCTTTTGATGCTAAAACTATAGCTGTGTATTGATAGATAACAAAAATGTAGTCCTCATATCTGACATTTTATACACATTTACTAAAGCTTGGGTATGAAACTCAGGAATTCTAGCAGGCATCTCCAGAGAGGATGTTTGCACATCATCAAAGTCATCCAATTTTCCTGGAGGACTGATCTTCAGGGAGTAAGAGGAGACCCACAGCTCCAAGTCTGCAGGAAGGTTAATGAGAGCAGGTGAATTTGGGGAGACAAACCCTCTAGAAACTCCTGCCCTCTCACCTGCTCCCAGGAGGCAGCAAACAGCTGCAGGACACACTGAGCAGGCTGCCTGGCTCTATGGAGGGGCTGGCCTAACCCATTCAAGTTCACAGACAGGTGACCTAGTTTTCTAAACAGCAAGCTACTTTCTTTCAAGTTATGGCAAAATACTCAAACATGACAAAACAATGACAATATAGAGACCCAAGAAAAATCCAGCAATCAAAATAACAGAAATACCTGCTAAGTTGATCCTTTTATCATTACAAATTTTGTCTAATTGGGAAATTGGTTGGGACATAAAAATTTAGTTCTGATTTTATTCCCTTGAGTAACTCCTGAAAAAACAGAAAAATGGCTCTACCAGCTGGCAAAATACAATTTCTAATCTTATTTCGAATTTCTAGGTGACAATATTCACACTCCCAGTATAGGGAATTGTCCCTCTTCTCAGTCACCTGTGCTATGGGCCCACACTCCAAGTGCCCCCTGGAAACCTGTGCTCTCTGCACTGTGGTTCCCTACACCACTAGGGCCATCTGTGTGGTGTGTGTATGTCACAGAGGAAAGGCTTCACCTGGATTAGGGGCACAGCCAACCCACCAGGACCTGGCCCTGCAAGTTTGGACCCTTTTCTTTTTATCACCACAGTGACACTGAATGTCTTCCACTTTAAATGTGTTCACATCCCCACTTAGGGTATCCAAACCATCAGGGATTATGTCTAGAATGAAACTTCACTGAAAAATCCTAATAAACCAGGAATCTGATTTTTCTTAAATAAAAAGAAAAGAAAAAAAAAGTTTGGCACACTTCATGCCTTTACCAGTCGTGGGTGGGGAACAGCAGACAAAAGCCTTTGAGGAATAAGGAAAGAAAAGCCCACAGGGGAACTGTGGCCTCTGGAGAAGTGCCATCCCATGAGCTACAGATGCAAACAGAAGCCCTGGCCCAGGTGGCTAAGGAACGAGAGGCCCAGATGCACCGGAATCACACACCTGGGGAACAGGGTGAGCAGCTGGGCGTCCTGCACCTCAGGGCTCTGCTCACCTGCATCCATCCAGAGGGGGTCCCAGGGAGCTGGGGGCAGGATGCAGATGTGCCCCTCTATGAGGAGCTGCAGCAGTCACTCTGCCATGTGGTCCTCCCATGGACATGTGAAGCTGGAGCTGATTCAGTTCCCAAGAAAGTGGGCTGGATATGTGCAGTCAGCCTCCTCGATCCTACCCACACACCTCTGCCCAGCACACATGGGCCCACAGGCAGCTGGGGCAGCAGGACCAGGGCCTTGGTGCCACCTGTTCCCCTGCTGACAGGGTCCTGGGGCACCTGCCCTGCTACCCCAGGATGGCTTTACTACTCTCCTTATTGTCCTCCCAATCATTGTTTAGGAAGATGACATTTCTGGGACAAAAGAAAAACTCCAGAAGCCAAAAGCTCCAAGTGTGCCCTTACACACGCCACCATCTGCATGCCCATCAGTTTTAATGTAGAGATGTGCAAGCACTGGGAAATTGTTCCCTAGTTCATTTGGCCCAGCTTCCTGCCAGCAGACCGGTAAGCTGAGGATCCCCTGTGCAGAAGGTGAAAGCCTCCCCGCTCTGTGCAGGGAAGTAGGTTTTCTCTTTGATGCCATGAGCTTCTTTTGTCCCTTGGTTCCCCTTGAAAGTGACATGGTGATTGTAGAACCTACTATTCCCACCTTCCTCAACCACCTTCTGTCAGCACACAGGGCTCCTAAATGAACCCTCGAGGTCTTGGCTGTGACTCTGCACGCTCTTGTACACATGGGGCTGCATCCAGCTTATGCCTAGCTCCTAGGTACTGTGGCTGTGGTCAAATGCTCAGTGTTTCTTGCAGGGCCATGTGCCCATCACAGCTTTCACCACTGGAGCCCTGATACAAGTGCTGGCCCACTATGCATTCACATGGTGGCACTTACTTCTCAGTATTCAGCCCTGTACAGAAGTGCTACTGAACAGAGGCTCCACCTTGGTAAGTCTTTGAGACATGACACCTGTCAGCATGAAATTCACCACTTAATCCACATAAGGTGTATTAAGGTCCATCAAAGTATAGCCATTGGACTAATTTATAGTACTTGCAATTCCACTTCCAGTCCTGGGCTTGGGGGAATGTTAAATTTTTTACCACGTGACATCTGACACTTACCTGCATCAGTCCCTGCCCCAGGTAACATACAGCAGGCTGAGAAAAAGGCAAATGTAACAGGGCATGTATTCCGGGAACTCAGAGGTACCCAACCTGGTGACACTTTTTGAAGGGGACAAAACGTAGCAGAGCAGTGATGGTGAACCTTCTAGAGCTTTCAGCTGCTGAGGCACCTGTGGCACAGGCTTGCCATCATGGCACTTGAGAGAGGGAGACCACATTAATAAAACCTGAACTGAAAACAGATTCACAGACAGTAAGTTGTACTCTGTGCATCCTAATCCAGGTATCTAGGATTCAACTTCGGATCGTGAGTCAGATCCAAGCCATGTGGTCTAAGCCGGGGATGCACACAGCAACCCAAAGTGACTTCATTCACTTACTGAAAACCTGGGCCAGGGCTGCAGCCTGAACATGGCAGAGGAGCCGGGACCCCAACACCAGCCTGCAACCTCCTTCAGTGAGGACACTGCTCTCTGTGAGGGTGCCACAGCACTCGCTCTGGTGCCTGCGGGCAGTGGCAGGCACCCTTCAGGATTTCCCTGCATACTTGAGTGGAGCAGTGTGAAACCCATGGGAACCAAACATCCGTTGCCAAGTCAAAAATTCTGTGGACTTCTAAAAGTTGTCCGAAGCTCTCTGAGGCAACACTAACTTGCAAAGCAATGCCTGCAGCGTGGCAAAGGAGTTGATCATGTGTGGAAGCAGTAATACGGAAAAGCTTGGGCTCTGCGCAGGGCCATGATAAAGTGACACCTGAGCCAGAGACCCAGGCTTGCTTGACATAGCCCAAGTGCTGGCCACAGCCAGGCCCCGCAGGCAGCTGGATACTAAGAGCCGAACCACCAGGAGCATCAGCGGTGTCTTTGGAAAACCCTGGGAAGAAGGGCCATGGGTGGGGGACAGCCAGGCTGGAGGGGCCCAGGACCCTGGCATCTGTTTCAGGCTGATGGTGACTAGTGTCCACAGAGCACTAAAACACAGTCTCAACTGCCCATCCTGATCACCCTGGTAGTGATCCAGAGTGTGGGTGGTGCCCAGAGGCTCACATCAGGGGACACCTACATTTACCCCAGTGTAGTGGGGAGGGAGCAGCAGTCTTCTCTGGCACCCCTGCGCTGGCCTTGTGGTCGTGGGCCCAGGAGGGTATGCTGCTCTTGCTGGCAGCTTCCTTCCCCAAGGTGTCGCCCCTCGGAATCACCACCACCTTCTTCACTGGGCTTCCAGTTTCCTCTGGAGCTGGCCTCTTGTGCACAGAGGCCATCGTAATCCCTCCCTGGATAATCAGTGAAAGCCCAGTGGTTAGAGTCAGAAATGTCACCTTGCTGCTTCTCACCCAGAAGTAAATATCTTACAACTCCACTTCAGGTTACCTTCAGACACCTCACCCTCCCTGGGCTGGGACACTGCTACACACTTGGGGGATCCTCGAGGTCCCACAGAATATTGTGGAATCAGGTCTCTGGGGCACATGAAGCTCCCGAGATAGAACCATGAGTAACAAACGACAGGACGATGCACGAGCGAGACACAGAACCAAGCCCAGGCACTGCGCAAAGGACCCAAGTGCAGGTGTCAGGACACGCTCAGCCCCAAGTGGGAAGGTGCTGTGACTATAGACAAGGGGCGACAAATGCCATTTTGCTCCTGCACAGAAACTCTGCTGGGTGAAATGCTCAGTTCTGTCCCCTTACTGAATGTTTCAGCCCTGCTCTCCGGCAGTTGGGTATTCTAAAGGGGCAGCCTTGAGGTCAAAGCACTCAAAGGGAAGCAAGTAGCAGACCATGCACAGGATAATGAGAGCGGGAGGTGCATCTGCATGGTCCACACAGGTAGGGCGCTGCCTGCCGAGCTCTGGACAACTCAGGACTTACCTAGGGCTTCTCATTCAAACACCCCCAATTCTTTCAAATCAAACACAGTCAAAAAATGAAGCACAGCCCCAACTAAACCTACTCTCCCAGATTCCTTGGGATTGGGGCAGCTGGGAGCTCCCAGGTGGCCCTGTGAATCCCCGCCCTGAGCTCCTGCAGGGCAGCCACTTTCCTGCACAGCTTCATAGCACTCAGGCTAACTGAGCCCTCAACTAAAGGCAGAAGCCAGAAGCAGGGAAGCTGGGAATTTGGGATCCACACGACATGGACACCTGCTGTGCACATGTTACACACCTTCAGTAAGCAAGCACAGGACACAACACTTTCGTGTCAAGCCAGGGTCACCTGGCTCAGCTCACCTGCACACTAGGTTTGGGGAGATGGAGCTCTTCTGGCTTCATCTTGACCTTCTTAGGCTTTGGTTTGTGTCCTTTCTGTGCACTTAGAAATCTCACAGCAGCTGCCGCATGCTTGAGAATGCATTCATTGCCACAGTACACCTTGCCAGGCTGTGCCATACTGCGGCACCCAGGGCCTGCACAGGGCACGGTGTCAGGAGACACTGTCACCTGCAGGAGCCAAGAGGAGACATCAGACAATGGAAGTGTGATGCTGGCAGGACACACTTGTCATACTAGGGCACACACTGAGGTCACTTCTGTAAGAGACCTAACAGTGTGTTTGACATGAATAAAAGTCATCTTTGTTCGTGCAAACTGCACAAATCCCCCTCTGCTATGCAAGGCACCTCGGTGTAACCACCCCAGCAGCTGGAGTTGGGTGGGCCTCACTCCCCTTCAGCTCTAGCACCACTGAGGACACCCACAAGCCCACAGCTGGATCCCCCAGGCCCAAACAGCAGCTCCAGTGAGATAAGATGGAATCACAGCCTGTAGACTAAAGCAGGCGAACATTCTCCAAGGAGGCATCAGACTCTTCCCGAAGGGAGACCCCATGCCTGCTGGGAAGCAACCTGCCCTGATAGACAGCGGGGCTGCCACTGGTAGGACTGTGCATCAGGCTGACAAATAAAGGAGGGGGTGCCCCCGGGGGTTCCAGATAATCAGTGACTGGCTTCTCTGTCTGGCAGCCACCCAGGTTGCAGGGACACAAGCACTGCTGGGCAAGGGCTCCAACAGGGCCACCTCCGCAGCAGAGCCCCAGGATCCCCCAGCCCAGCTGCCCCGGCGTGAGGTCACTGGTCCGCTCCTACTCGCAGGTGCTCTGCCCCTCTGAAGACCCAGGCGACGCCTGCCGGCACCCTGCACTTCCACGGGGAAGACGCAGAGTCTGAAGGGAGCACTGAGCACCAGCATTCCTGCCACCAGATCTGGGTCTCCCCGAAGCGCCACCTAGGCATATGTGGGTCAGTCAATCAGGCTCTGGTCCCTTCACACAGGTGGAGATGTTAAGAGAAACTTCCTGAAGATGCGGTGTCCCTGTGTAAGGAGCCAAGTCCTCGCTGCCTCAGTGTGCGGTACACACAGGGCGAGTGTGGCAAGGCAGAGAGGCTTAGAGATTCAGCCACCTCCACCTTGGCATCTCCGCAGCTGCTGGAGGGCTGGCGGGCGGCCAGGAGCCCAGGGAGGCCCAAGCAGAACGTGCAAAGCCGCTCCTAGACCAGAGAAACAGGCAGTTCTCACCAGCAGCGCGGAGGGGGCAGAAGCCACGGCAGAGGCCCAGGCAGGCGTCCAGCCAGGGAGGGGCATGAGGAAAATAGGTGCCTGCCAGGGGAACGATTCACCAAGTACTGCCTGCGCAGTGCTGCGGGGACACGTGGAAGGGCAGTGTGATTGGGCAAGCTGGGTGTGTGCGCACACCCGTCACCCCAACACTCTGAGAGGCTGAAACAGATAGGACACAAGCTGGAGCAGAGACGGAAAAAGGCCGACTTGGTGAAGCCCTGTCTCAGAACAGAAAAGGAGAAGGGGCGGGGCGGGGCTCAGCGCTAAGTCCCCGCCCCCAAGTCTGCTTCTGCGGGAAAGTGAGGCAACCTTCAGTCAAGTATAGGAGGTGGACCGCACTCTGTAAAGCTCCTGTGGGCCCGGCGACGGATGCTCCCTGGGACTATCTGGTGTGCATACAACACGCATGACTAGTAAAGTCAGTCTTGGCAAAGGGGAGACAGCTCTGGGGTCTGGCTTCTGTCAGCAGCCAGTCTGCCAGGACTGAGGAAGCCCTGCCTGCTCCCCAGGGTGACAAATACTCACAGGCAAGGACATCCCTGTGGCCTTCTCGGCGCTGTGGCTTGAGGACCCCTCAGGTCCACCCTCACTGCCCTGGGCAGCACCAGACGTCTGCTCGTCCATTGCTCTGCTCTCGAACTCCGTGTCGTGGGCACCTCCAGGTCTGCATCCAGGCGCCTGCTCCCCGGTGGGGCCTGAAGTCCTCTTACCCTGCACTTGCGGGGCAGTGCAGTCCAGGCAGAGGTGACTGTCCCCACTCCTCTGCCAGAGCCGCCCTTGGGTCTCGGCAGTGCCCACGTAGTCACCGTCACAATGCATCATCATCCTGAGAGGACAAAGTGAGCACTCAGGGGTGGGGAGCCACAGCAGTCACTGCCCAACATGCCAAGAAGCCAACAGCCTTTAATGGTGTCTTACACACAACAGAGAAATGGGTCGAGCAGAGGCGGGGCTAACAGCGCCCACACGTGCCTCCCTCCACTTCAACATTCAGCCACACTTGCTCCGTGGCTTTTTCCACCAGAAACTTTTCAGAGGGAATTATGGCTTCCGTGTGTGTCTGCACACAACAGCTATACAACCTCATCCCCAACAGGTCCCCAGGGCACCCGAGCCCCAGCACCCAACACAGGCCACACAGGTACCAGTGGGGTCTGCATATGAAGGGGCTATACCCCCACTTCCCTAGAGGTCCCTCACAGCAGCCATGTCCCCGCCTACACCACAGCCCTAGTGCTGCAGCTCTGGGGTGGGCAGTGAGCTCTCCTCCGCTCCACTGCAGGAAGCTGGCTGGTGGCAGTGGCAGCGGCGTGGGAGTGGCAGGCAACCTTCTGCACTCCAGCTTCCTTCTGCCCCAGGGACCGCTCAGCTTCTGCTAGTCCAACTACTTGTGCCAGCCAGGGAATCACCAAGTGCCTGAGTGAGTGGGGAACGCTCTCTGCCCATCCATCCCAGGGCTTCTGAACTCCAGCAGGGACCTCCCTGCCTGAGACCCTGACCCACCTGTTGCTGGGAGGCTGGCAGCAGACGCAGTGTAGGGTGCTAGGGGCATAGCCCAGGCGCTCAGGCGGAGGTCTGCCCCGGTCCCCGGGCGCCTTGTCTTTAGGTCCCTGAACTGTGGCTGCTTCCGACTCACACTCTCTGCCCTCTTTGGCTGCCTGGGCCGCAGCCTTCCAGGCAGCCCTGGTGTTGGTGTCCTGCTCGCAAGGTGGCACGCTGTGGCTGGCACTGTGAGCCTTGACCTCCGCAGTGCCGCTGGGGTCCTCCTCCCAGCAACGCTGCTTCCTCAGGTGACCACGGAAGCCCCTCAGCCCCGCTTCTGTGGGTTCTCGCTCTGGCTTTCTTGGAAGGCGATTCTGAAGCCCCTCCAAAACGCAGCTGTTGCTGTTGGGGACGTGACCCTGCTCATCCCAGGCTCTGGCCCTCTTAGAAGAGGAAGGCCATCCCTTCTCACACTGGGACTCAGGAGCTGGCCCGCTCTTTGCCTCCGGGCCCCTGACGCTGTGCCTTTCTGAGGTGCACAGCACAGGCGTCACTGGGCAGGACGCTGGCTCTCTGCAGACCTCAAGGGACGCGGCCGCATCCTGTCTTCCTCGCCGCCAGGCTGTGCTCAGCTCCCCGACCTGCTCCGCACACGTCAGCCACCTCCTGCTGGGCTGCAGGGAGAGGCTGTGTGGCCACTGCCCAGCAGGGTCCGCCACAGTGTCCCCAGCACCCTCCCGCTGTGTGATCATGCTCCTCTGGATCCCCCAGGTCTCCCTGAGCTCTCTGCTCATGGGGCTGATGGCCTTGGGGGCATCCTTGTCGCTCTGGTCCCGGGCATTGTCCATGCCTAATGGAAGAGACAAGGTCACTCAGTCACCACAGACCCTCCTTGCACACAGGACCCGGCACCTGCTCAGGGGAAATCCTAACAGCACGAAATGGGACAGCGTCCGGCTCACACAGACGCAGCCGCTCATACATGACCAGCTTCTCACCAGCCATGACCTGCGCTGCAGGATGGCTCTGCGCAACTCATGAGCTGCAGGCACCCAGTCAGCGCTCAGTAGAAAACAGCACAGCCCCCATGCCACGTACGATGCCCCACTTACCTGCTCAGGGCCTGGTCTACCTCAGGAAGGTGACGAAGGAAGCAGCAGGGCAGCAGGGTAAGGACTTGACCCCCACATGAGGCTGGCAGAATGAGGGCCACCTCGAGCCCCGCCCAGGCCACATGGCAGCTGACGTGGAGCAGCAGGCCTGGCCCACGAGCACAGGGTGCCCAGTGCTGAGCCGCTTCTGGGCCTTGGCAAGAGGACCGGCCGGGGCCCTCTGGGGCCAGGAACCCTAGCTTTAGAAGCCTCACTCAGGGGCCTGCACCCCAGACAGCTGGTGGTAGTTGAGGATGTTGCCTCAGGCCATCAGGGGCTGGACAGCCCACCACTGACCATGGCCATGAGATCAGAAATGTTCTTGTTCCAGGCCACTCTGAATTTGGCCACAGCCACAGCCATCAGCCTCTATTCCTGGCCTCTGTTTCCCTTTCTCTCTATTGTATTAAAGGATGTGAGCTCGACTTCTACTCTTGCTTAAGTGACAAAATTGGAAGAAACGGTACGTACCTGGGCAATTCCTTTTCACCCGATCCAGGGATCAATACCTGGGCAATTCCTTTTCACCCGATCCAGGGATCAAT